TTGCATGAATGCTCCCAGAGCCACTCATGAATCACACAGAGAAAGGCACCAGAGCCAAATCCCTCCAGCTCCCAGCACTGTACCTCAGGAATATACTGTTTTGAACTGCTCAAGATGGGCAGTGCAAATGTATTAATTGGTTCACCACTTCAGCAATGTAAAGTGGACATACACCAGCCTTTGTCAAACCTGAGCAGATTTGTCCCACACTTCATACAAACTCTCTGGTAAAGATAAGCAATTAAACAAATTTATTGACTATAAAAGGTAGATTTTAAATGATATTAAATGATAGGCAAAAAGTCAGAGTTAGTTACCAAAAGAAAAGAAAATATAAGCACGCACTCTAGACTCTCAACCCTATTAGACTGGGCAATAGCTAGATTAAGCAGTTTTTCTTACCGTATTGGATATTGCAGTCCTTAATATAAAGATTTGTACCTTAAATATGGGCCAGTCTCCTCTGTTGGAGTCTCAAGTCTTGTTCCATGTCTTTGTTGCTTGCAGCATAGGTGGGTGAAGGAGAAAGGCCCAGCTTGTGGCCACTGTGTTCTGTTTTATAGCCTCAGTCCCATGTGCTTGGGAAGCACAAGTCCAGGCATGTCTAGGGGCATTGCTGAGTCTCCAGGCAAGGTTGAGCAATTCCCCTGGTGTGGCCTCATGCAGGTGGGTCATTGAATTGTAGCTCCTTTGCTGGACAATGGTTGTTGATGGGTTGTTTGTCACCCCGACCGGGTGTTGGTCACTTTCCTTGCTGTTGCCTCTGGGGCAATATCTGGCTGCTTCCTCAGCTTACAACATATTTTAGTGACAACCATACAACACAATTCTCATAACTTCATATGCATTAATGATACATCTATATGGACAGAGAAATGATTTTCAGCAGATCATAACCTTTTCCCTGATACCTCACAAGGCCTGCTTTATATGTAAGATCACGATTATATAAAAATGAGGAATATGGGGGGTTACAGGGTGCTCCCTCAAGGTATAGAATGTCACAGGAAGTGGCCCAGAATCCTGCCCCCTTGATCTTTTGTTATTCAGCCCCAATGGAATAGCTTCAGTAGTAGTCACTGGGGGTGTTACATGTCTGAATATCCCATAGCCCAGTGTTTTCAACACTCCCCTGAGAGGTTGCAGATCTCTACTGAAATACTTTCTCCCCCTCAGGCAGAGGGGGGACTTCAAGAGGGGGGGTTTCTTACATCCCAGGGTAGTGCTCTAATCACTGAGCTAAAAGTCATGAGTTCGTTCCTCTTCCCCCCACTCCGGCTTCTTCCAAAAAACACGTTAAGCTCCGAACTCAAAGACAGGGTTCAGAGCTGAGCATCCCAAGCTAAGGTAGGTGCTGAACATCCTGAGAGGGGCAGGGCTTAGCACACAGTCCTCTCCTTGGCATCTCCCATGGTCTAGCTTGGCCAGCTCCCAGGATGGGGTATCTTATATGGAGCCCATTCTTAGGTGTCTATTCCTGCCTTTTCATTGCATAGGAGCCTGGGCACCTCATTCAGGATTTGTGGATCCCAGTGATTTTCTAGGCACCTGCAATTTATGTCTCAGCATTACAATGCCTAATGGCTGGTCTACACTGAAAAGGTACATCAACAGAGATGTAGCTATTCTGACCTAATGCCTGGTGTAGACAGCACTAGGTTGACGGAAGAATTCTTCCTAGCTTCTGCCTCTAGAGGAGGTGAATGACCTACAGGACCCCTCTCATCGCTGTAGTGAGCGTCTACACTGAAGTGCTACAGCTGTGCCACTGTATCATTTTATGCATAGACATAGCCTATGTCCCTTTGTGAATTTAGTTCTTTGTGCTCCCACTTACTATGGAAGAATCAGACAGTGGTGGAACAAAGTGAGGCTATTTCTAGCACTGAGACACACAGGGTGAAAAATGATAGGACGTTATAGTTTATTTATTTAATATTCATCATGCAGAAGGAAAGAGGGTTGTAAAATGTTATTGCCACACACAGCACAAGAAAAACTATTTGGAAATTAATAAGCAATAAATTTTACCATTATAAATAACAGGCCAGATTCTAACAGAGTAAATGTGAAGTAACATCATCAGCTTCAGTAAAAACAAGGAGGAGTCGTTGTGGCACCTTAGAGACTAACAAATTTATTTTGGCATAAGCTTTCATGGGCTAAACCCCACTTCATCAGATGCATGGCGTGGAAAATACAGGAGCAGGTATAAATACATGAAAATATGTGATTTGCCTTACCAAGTGTCAGGTCAGTCTAAGGAGACAATTCAATTGACAGCAGGATACCAAGGGAAGAAAAATAATTTTTGAAGTGGTAATGAGAGTGGCCCATTCCAGACAGTTGACAAGAAGGTGTGAGTAACAATAGGGGGAAATTAGTATTGCGGAAATTAGGTTTAGGTTTTGTAATGACCCAACCACTCCCAGTCTTTATTCAGGCCTAATCCTAAATAAATGTGTTAGTCTCTAAGGTGCCACAAGGACTCCTTGTTGTTTTTGCTGATGCAGACTAATACGGCTACCACTCTAAAGCTTCAGTAAAGTTACTCATCATTTACCAGGCATGTATATAAAATTGGAAGATTGCTCACAGCTGGGCGCAAACTTCATTTCTTCCTTTCCCTTTGTAAACTAGGAAATCCCACAGTGAAATCTTGCAGACACATTTGTTTGCTGGGCAGCTGTAATATTATGATTCCGAAGAGTGTAAATTTCTGTGTTAGTGTGGTGCCATTTGATTACTGACAAACTAACATGCATGTTTGTGTGTCTTACAAAATCTATCTATCTATCTATCTATCTATCTATCTATCTATCTATCTAAAAAGGACTTGGCTCCCAGCTACCATATTATGCACCTAAAGCACAGCATCAGCCCTCACTTGGATTCACCAAACCTCCACTCAGTTGTCACTGGACCCTGTAGACATCTTTTCTCAGTCGACACCTAAGTTTTGGCAGTAAGAGTTCCCTAGATGCTCTGAGCATGCCCATGGCTGTCCTGCTCTAGGCATACTGATGCCTAAGCCCCACAGCAGTGCGGGAACTGGGAGAAGACAGGCATTCCTCCACATAGCTCACCTGTGGGCCCACTTTTGTAGGCTGTAGACCTGGGGAACTGGAGCCTGGGTCTCTGAACTGAGAGCCATCAGGCTTCTCATAAGAATATAAGAACATAAGAATGGCCATACTGGGTCAGACCAAAGGTCCAGCTAGCCCAGTATACCGTCTTCTGATAGTGACGAATGCCAGGTGCCCAGAGGGAATGAACAGATCATTGAGTGATCCATTCCTTGTCACCCTTTCCCAGTGTCTGGCAAAGAGAGGCTAGGGACACCATCCCTGCCCATCCTGGCTAATAGCTATTGATGGACCTATCCTCCAAGAACATAGCTAGTTCTTTATTGAACCCTGTTATAGTCTTGGCCTTCACAACATGCTCTGGCAAGGAGTTCCACAGGTTGACTGTGCGTTGTGTGAAAAAATACTTTCTTTTATTTGTTTTAAATCTACTGCCTATTAATTTCATTTGGTGACCCCTAGTTCTTGTGTTATGAGAAGGAGTAAATAACACTTCTCTATTTACTTTCTCCACACCAGTCATGATTTTATAGACTTCTATCATATCCACCCTTAGTCGTCTTTTTTCCAAGCTGAAAACCCTAATAATTTTTGTTGCCCTTTTCTGAACCTTTTCCAATTCCAATATATCTTTTTTAAGCTGGGGCGACCACATCTGCATGCAGTATTCAAGATGTGGGCGTACTATGGATTTATATAGAGGCAGTATGATATTCTCTGTCTTATTATCTATCCCTTTCTTAATGATTCCCAACATATTGTTCACTTTTTGGACTGCCACTGCACATTGAATGGATGCATTCAGAGAACTATCGACAATGACTCCAAGATCTCTTTCTTGAATGGTAACAGATAATTTATACCCCATCATTTTATATGTATAGTTGGGATTATGTTTTCCAATGTGTATTACTTTGCATTTATCAACATTGAATTTCATCTGCCATTTTGTTTCCCAGTCAACCAGTTTTAAGAGATCCTTTTGTAGCTCTTCGCAGTCTGCCTGGAATTAACTATTTTGAGTAGTTTTGTATCATCTTCAAATTTTGCCACCTCACTGTTTACTCCTTTTTTCAGATCATTTATGAATATGTTGACTAGGACTGGGCCCAGTACAGACCCCTGGGGGACACCACTATTTACCTCTCTGCATTCTGAAAACTGACGATTTATTCCTACCCTTTGTTTCCTATCTTTTAACCAGTTACCAATTCATGAAAGGACCTTTCCTTCTCATGCTTGCTTTCTCTCTGTCTGGCCAAAATTGTCTTTAATTCGCAGTGGAACGGCTTGAACAGGGGGATTTAAGACTACCCCGCGATCAGACTACCCCACTGCCCAGTGATGAGGGCAGCCACCTCATAAGTAGCATATATGCTTCAAATCCCTTCCTCCATGAGGCAAAGAGAGAAATTGACCTGCGGTCTTCTCCATCCCAGGTGAGTATGCTACCGACTGAGCTAACAGTTATGAGGGAGGCCATCTTCCTCCTTCTCACATCACGGCTCAGGCTCCATTGGTGAGGTAGGCAGAGGAACGCCTGTCTTTCACAGGTCAGGAATCACTCTGGGGTTTAGGAACCTGGACACCAAGATGGTGGCTGCAGTGCACATGCCCCGAGGCTGAAACATAGGCATCTAAGGATATTTCATTGCAACAACTTAGGTGCCAAGGGAGTTTAGGCACTACAGGATTTCGCAGCAGCTGAACAAGAGTTTTGTGAATCCCAGGGGTGCCTAAATGTGAGAATGAGGCACCTAAAGTGGCAGATAGGTTCCTAAATCCCTTTGTGAATCTAACCCAGGGAAACTAACTCCTTCTACTGCATTTAGGTTTGAAATAGTCACATTGCCGCTCAGGTCCAGGCTCAGATTTTCTGTCCTTCTTGAACACGAGCAAAACAGAGACATGGTTTTAAAACTTCTTGGTGGAGGAGGACACAATCTGCTGGATCTCCTCCCGAATCCTCTCCTTGTTGTTGGATACGTTCATCTTCGCTCTTTTGAGGAGTTCTTTGACATCATCCTCTTTGTAGGAAAAATGAAAGGTGGAATACCTCTCTCTGAAGTCATGTATTTTACCTAGAAATAAAAGGGGTGAGTAAGTGCCAAAGAGAGGAAAACAGTGGTACTGTTTTACACTTTTACAGATTCCAGAAGCATAGAATCCAGGTACCTAAAGAGGCAGGGGAACAACATGGCCAACTCCTGAGGTTTTCATAGAATCATAGAAATGTCAGGCTGAAAAGACCTCAAGAGGTCACTAAGTCCAGCTTCCTGTGCTGACACACGAGCAAGTGAACCTACACCATCCCTGACAGGCGTTTGTCCAAGCTGTTCCTAAAATCTTCTATGGTGATTCCACTACATCCTTTGGAAGCCATTCCAGAGTGTAACTAGCCTTAGACACTGGAGAAAATGGCATGAAGTGATTGGGAAGGGGACAAGATTGCCTGGAAGCCATGGGGCAAGGTTGTGCACGGTCCCTAGGACTCAGATTTGGTGCCAGAGACGTGATACAAGAACAATGGACTTTTATTTGTGGGACCCTGGTACCTGAAAGGGGTGGATTTACATTGTGACCTGGCTGAAGGGACATGTCCTGGGAAAAGGTGATCCACCAGCATAGGTGCCAACTCCATGGGTGCTCCGGGACTGGAGCACTCACGGGGAAAAACGTATCGGGTGCTCCACAGCCAACGGCAGCCAAGCTCCCCCCTCCTTGCCTCCTTCTCCTCCCCCACCGAGCACGCTGCGTTCCCGCACCTCCCCCTCCCTCCCACTGTTCCCCCCCCACCTAACAGCTGTTTGGTGGCGCTTAGGACTTTCTGGGAGGAAGGGAGAGGAGAGGGGATGTGGCACACTCAGGGGAGGAGGTGTAGAAGGGGTGGGGGGTGGGGATTTGGGAGAAGGGGTGGAATGGGGGGCGCGGACTTGGAGGAAGGGGGCAGGGTGGGGCAAGGGTCAAGCACCCACCGGGCAGAGGGGAAGTCGGTGCCTATGTCCACCAGAGCGGCCATCAGCTGGGGGCTGTAGATGGGGAGAGAGCTGCTATGCCACCCCTGGCCACAAGGAGGTGCTTTACTGGTGAGTTCCCCCTTCCCAACTCTTTCAGTTTATCTACTTTATTTCCCTTCCCTTTGAAAACTAGGGAAAATGCAGAGTAATCTGCCAGCTACCTTTGTTTGCTGGGCAGCTGTAAGGTTGATGGGAGTTAAATCCTTTTGAGGATCTGCATTTGCATTTACAGTGCAGCAGGTCAAAGCTGAATCTGTCCACTGAGTCCAAACAAGTCTGTATCTCATGTAATTCACATGTCGACAGGCTAAAAGGCAGTGTAAGTGACATGAGTTATGCCTCCTTTCCACTACCTGCTGAAGGTGGCCTACTCATGCCATTAATGATCTGGATGGTGGGTGGACTGCACCCACAGCAAGTTCGCGGATGACACTAAGCTGGGGGGAGAGGTAGATATGCTGGAGGGTAGGGATAGGGTCCAGAATGACCTTGACAAATTGGAGGATTGGGCTAAAAGAAATCTGATGAGGTTCAACAAGGACAAGTGCAGAGTCCTGAACTTAGGACAGAAGAATCCCATGCACTGCTACAGGCTGGGGACCGACTGGCTAAGCGGCAGTTCTGCAGAAAGGGACCTGGGGATTACAGTGGACAAGAAGCTGAATATGAGTCAACAGTGTGTCCTTGTTGCCAAGAAGGCTAACGGCATATTGGGCTGCGTTAGTAAGAGCATTGCCAGCAGATTGAGGGAAGTGATTATTTCGCACTGGGTGAGGACACATCTGGAGTACTGCGTCCAGTTTTGGGGGCCCCACAACAGACAGGATGTGAACAAATTGGAGAGAGTCCAGCGGAGGGCAACGAAAATGATTAGGGGGCTGGGGCACATGACTTACGAGGAGAGGCTGAGGGAACTGGGCTTATTTAGTCAGCAGAAGAGAAGAGTGAGGGGGGATTTGATAGCAGCCTTCAACTACCTGAAGAGGATGGATCTAGGCTGTTCTCAGTGGTGGCAGATGACAGAACAAGGAACAATGGTCTCAAGTTGCAGTGGGGGAGGTCTAGGTTGGATATTAGGAAAAACTATTTCACTAGGAGGGTGGTGAAACACTGGAATGAGTTACCTAGGGAGGTGGTGGAATCTCCATCCTTAGGAGTTTTAAAGGCCCAGCTTGACAAAGCCCTGGCTGGGATGATTTAGTTGGGGTTGGTCCTACTTTGAGCAGGGGATTGGACTAGATGACCTCCTGACGTCTCTTCCAACCCTAATCTTCTATGATTCTATGATCTCCTCTCAATTACACAAGGTGTAAATCCAGAGAAATTCATTTGATTTTGATCAAATATAAATAAAACAATTTAAAACATTGATCAATAAAGATTTGCATGTTTGGCTTTAAAAGCATGAATCAAAAGGGCTAATTTCTGTCCCCGGGGTGACTCTTAATGAACTGAAAAGCAGAAAATTTAAAACTGGTGATGGGGAACTGTTTTGCAGAGCACACGAGTGATCTGTGGAACTCAATACTGCAGAGAACTAGCAGGGCCTGGTTCTCAATAGGATTGTAGGAAGGGTGGGATATTATTTATAAATCCATGATTATATCAGACTGAATTAAAATATAATGTAAAAGATATAAACCTCCCTGCGTCAGTCCATACATAAGCTAATTTTCTGGGAAAGTTTTATTCAGAATTATTTATTACAGTGCTTCGTGCCCCTCCTTCTGACTCATATGGTGCTGGCCACTGTCAGAGTCAGGAAAGAGGGCTAGATGGTGGATGGTGGCAATATTTGAGCTCCTCTGCTCATTTTCACCAATGTCAATCAGGAGTAGCTCCCTTTAAATCAGCGATCCAGACTCATGAGGCTAGATTCACAGCGGACTTCAGGTGTTGGGACACTGAGAGTTATGGTGCCTAAGTTTTAGACCCCTAGAAAATCACTGGGATTCACAAAGGCTGAGTTAGGTGCCCAGGCTCCCTGTGCATGAATGAAGAGAGACAGGTTCCTTGGAAAGTGATCCATGAAAGCCAGCACACTAGGCTGGGACCGGCCTAAACTAATCCATGAGAGAAGACCAGGAGAGGGGTATGTGCTAAGCACTGAGGGAGTTCAGCAGCCAAGTCCTTGTTGAACAAGGACAAACGCAGAGTCCTGCACTTAGGACGGAAGAATCCCATGCACTGCTACAGACTAGGGACCGAGTGGCTAGACAGCAGTTCTGCAGAAAAGGACCTAGAGTTTACAGTGGAGAAGAAGCTGGATATGAATCAACAGTGTGCTCTTGTTGCCATGAAGGCTAACAGCATTTTGAGCTGTATAAGTAGGAGCATTGCCAGCAGATCGAGGAACGTGATCATTCCCCTCTATTCAGCATTGGTGAGGCCTCATCTGGAGCACTGTATCCAGTTTTGGGCCGCACACTACAAGAAGGATGTGGAAAAATTGGAAAGAGTCCAGCAGAGGGCAAAAAAAATGATTAGGGGGCTGGAGCACATGACTTATGAGGAAAGTCTGAGGGAACTGGGATTGTTTAGTCTGCAGAAGAGAAGAATGAGGGGGGGATTTGATAGCTGCTTTCACCTACCTGAAAGGGGGTTCCAAAGAGGATGGATCTAGACTGTTCTCAGTGGTAGCAGATGACAGAACAAGGAGTAATGGTCTCAAGTTGCAGTGGAGGTTGGACATTAGGAAAAACCTTTTCACTAGCAGGGTGGTGAAGCACTAGAATGGGTTACCTAGGGTGGTGGTGGAATCTCATTCCTTAGAGGTTTTTAAGGTCAGGCTTGACAAAGCCCTGGCTGGGATGATTTAGTTGGGGATTGGTCCTGCTCTGAGCAGGGGGATGGACTATATGACCTCCTGAGGTCCCTTCCAACCCTGATATTCTATGATTCTATGATTCAAGTCAGGGCTGGAAGGAGGCGCCTGTCTTTACTTGGGGTTCTCAGCTGTGGAGACAAAGACTCTTTAGCCTGGTGGTTACAGATCTTACACAGGCTGTGAGGGGCCCAGTCCCTCTACTCTGCTGACTCTCCAATTATTTATCCAAAGTGTAACAGCTTCAAGAGGGGAGGCTGATGCAGCCTTACATCAGAATATCCCACAGCTCAGTGGGAGCTCAGCTAACAAGTAGCAGATGAAATCCCTTCTCACCCTCAGGCAAAGCGGGGACTTGAACCAGGGCCCTCCACATCCTCGGTGACTGCTGTAACCCCTGCGCTAATAGTCATGAGAGAGGGCCTCTCTCCCCTGCATTTGTCGGAGCACACGTGTGGGGCCCGATCCAGCAGGCACCAGAGGCTTCTGGAGGCCGGGATTGGGCTGCAGTGGACATGCCCAGAGACTGACACATAGGCACTGAGTGAACTTTCCTGCAAAAACTTAAGCACTGAGCAAATTTAGGCACCTACGGTGTCTGGTGGCAGTGGAGCAGGGGTTTTGTGATTCCCAGTGAGGCCTTATCCTAACATTTCATTGGGTAAACTGGCAATGAGGTGCCTAAGTCTCTTTGTGAATCTAGCCTATAGACTTTTAGAAGAGGTGTACAATTAAGTTACCTGGACAATTTTCCTTGTTGAAGAGCGGGAAGTGCATGACAGTGGGAACGTCCTTCCCTCTGAAGATGTAGCAACTGGAAGGGGTATCTGTGTCCTTCAGCTTTTCTGGGTCTATCTTGGGAAATGGGATGTTATTTGCCTCACAGTACTCAGCAGTTTTTTTGATGGTCTGGGAAGGAGGGAAAAGTGATTTTAAAATAAATAAATAAAAAATTACCATCTCCACTAATAAAATGTGATTCCACTAATATGTCCAGGCTAGAGACTTAAAAATATGGCTAACCTATGGTATGGAAACATTCCAAAGAGCCCTTAAGGAACTGACAAATAGAAGGCCTCCAATGGAAACCACACATGACCCTGTTCCTATATCTGTGTAGCCAAAATCTTTGTGTAACAATGCATAGTCTGTGGCTGAGCTTTTCAAAACCTCTGAAGGGCTATGAATGCCCAGTCTGCATTGAAATTAGTCCATTAGGTGGCCTTGAAAACTTCAGCTCAAAGTAACAAGCAGGAATCCAACCCAGACATCAGCTCAAAAAGCACCAATGTTGTTATTTTTTTTGTTTTTACAAATTCAAACAAAATCTCTAACTGTGGCCACTAGAGGGAGACAATATCACTTATGGTGATATGTGAGGCTGAGTTTAGTGAGCTTGCAGAGTTCTAACTGACTTTTGGAACTCAGTTCACATTTCTATTGACCCCATCTCCTCCTGCTAGAGCGCTCTTGTTTCTGTAAAAAGAACAGGAGTACTTGTGGCACCTTAGAGACTAACAAATTTATTTCAGCATAAGCTTTCGTGGGCTGCAGCTCACTTCTTCAGTTTTCATGAAGTTGATGGATTTCCACTCCATACGGCTAAATGCAGTGCCTTGCATAATGACAGGTTTCAAAGTAGCAGCCGTGTTAGCCTGTATCCGCAAAAAGAACAGGAATACTTGTGGCACCTTAGAGACTAACACTTCTGCAGCCCATGAAAGCTTATGCTGAAATAAATTTGTTAGTCTCTAAGGTGCCACAAGTACTCCTGTTCTTTTTGCAGATACAGACTAACATGGCTGCTACTTTGAAACTTGTTTCTGTAGGTACTAAACAAATAAAAAGTGCTCAAACCTATTGATTACCATTCCAGTCATCAGATAGGACTGTGATACACACAAAGGCACACCTTTGAAGTAAGCAGTTTCCATTTTGTACACTGAGTAAAACTGAACTTCAAGGAATTTCCTCTTCATCCATAACATCCAAAGGGAAAGAGAGGTCACACTGAGTCGCTCATGGTCGATCACACTCCCTTATCCCAAACACAAGCGACCTTGGCAGAGAATAATGTAGATATTCCCAGTATATCCTATACGTCCACACATTTCAAATTGTGATCCACACAGCACCTTCAGGGAATCCAAATTACTGCTGCTAACTACAGTGTAACCTCATTGTGTCATGGGTCAAGTCCTGACTATTTGTGCAGTGCCCTGGGCAATGGATTCTTAATCCTGAATGGGGCTTTGAGTGACATCACAATAAATAACAATAGTTACCTTGAAAGGATCCTTACTGCTGAAGTCAAAGGAAAGGATCAGTTTCACTTTCCTCTCTGGACGCAGAACAAGAGGGTAAGCGGAATTTATGCCAATGCCGGCATCGATCAGGTTGATGACTTCATCCTTATCCAAGCCAGTGGATTTAGCATCACCTGCGAAAGTGCATCCAAGTATTGTTTTAGGCTGTGATTTTTCCAATGGGTCACAGTGAGGTAGGTGCCCAAATCCTCCTGAATGCCATGTGAATTTTCAAAGGTGCCTAAACTGGCAGATAAACTCCTAGTGGGATTTCCAAAGGAACCTAACCAGGTTAGGCACTGTCAGGAGTAAGGACCTGCAGCTAGTCTGCTTACATGCTAGCTTAACCTCTTGGCAGTCTAATGAGCACAGCTGGGCCCCCACTGAGTCACCTGATTAGCCCAAGCACCCGACTGGCTGTGGAAATCTGCAGACCTGTTCTTATAACCCATGGCTGTGAGAGTTCCTGCTCCTACCATGTCCTCAGCCTTGCGCCCACCTTGCCTTGCTGCAGGTAACTGGCTCTGATTCCTAGCCTCTGACTTTGGCTTTGACCCTCAGCTCTGATTCCAGCTACTGGTGCCTGCTGTAACCCCTAGGCCCGACTCCTGTTCTAATTGTTATGCATGACCGCCCCCATCCTCGTCACTGGCAGGTACCTAATTCCAATTGAAATTAGTGGGAGTTAGGTGCCTAACCTGCTGGGTGCTTCTGTAATTACCACTAGGGGGCAGACTTGCAAAGGTGGGTCGGTGCCAAAGGATACAGAGATGCCCAATGGGATTTTCAAAAGTGCCCAGGTCCCAGAATGTTAAAGATATTTAGGTGCTGCTGTGCGTGGTGCCTAACAGATTTAGGAGACTACATCTCAATTTTAAAAAGGGATTTAGGCACTTAGGAGCCAAAACCCCATTGACAGATCAGTCACATGTTGCAACACTGAGTACAGCAACATCTAAATACCTTTAACAATCTGAGTCTGGGTGTCGAACTCCCATTAACCTCAGATGTCTGTCCGTATCTTTAGGCACCAAAATCTTGCCCTTAGCCACTTTGAAAACCTCAGCTTTAATTTTGAGAAATTAGCCTCTAAACTGGCTCAGTAGCACATGGGCATCATCTATTAACACATATTCAAACCAGCATTTGATAAGTATCCATTTTAGGAGAATCCTGGATGACTTATTAAGAAGTTCTGAGTCAGGGAAAATTCAGAATCATACTAGAACCAAGCACGACTAACGTTTGGTTTGACACTAGCTCACAACAGAGTGGGGCAACCACAGTAACAATGCATTGACAATCATGTATTCAAAAAAAGCCCCACATTCCCTTCAGTTGCGTTTAGTCCCTTTTATTTACTTCTCATGAACACTCAAAAAGTCAATTAGAGCTGGTCAAAAACTGAAAAAAAGTAATTTCTTCCACCTCCCCAAAACTGTTGAAATTTCAAAGTTGTTTCATTCCACAGGGATGGAAGCGGATTCATTTTCTGTTTTTCATGAACAACAATGACAGAGATTTCAATACAATAATTCCCCAGAAAATTTTGATACGTTTTTTTCTGTGAAAAAGATGAGTTTAGAAAATGGCCATTTTCTACTCACAATGAATATATCATTTGAGAAATGTTGACCAGCTCCAGAGAGCACCTCATGCCTAAGGGCAGGTCTACACTTACTTCCTGGTTCGGCGGCAGGCAATCGATCTTTTGGGATCGATCCCGGAAGTGCTCGCCGTCGACGCCGGTACTCCAGCTCGGCGAGAGGAGTGCGCGGCATCGACGGGGGAGCCTGCCTGCCGTGTCTGGACCCGCGGTAAGTTCGGACTAAGGTACTTCGAATTCAGCTACGTTATTAACATAGCTGAATTTGCGTACCTTAGTTCAAAGTGGGAGGTTAGTGTGGACCAGGCCTTACAGATAAACGTGGACTCCTTGTAATATCCTTCTAATAAAGCCTTGTAAAGTATGTTTCCACACTGGCTCTCAAATAGCCGTGAGTGGATAATGCAAATTAAAAAATATTCAAAAAAGTTTGTTGGAACAAAAAACAGAAATTCCCTTTTTACTGCTACTTTTATGCTCTCTCGTGCACAAGAATGTTTGTAGGTCTGTGATAATTGTCATAGTCCTCAACATCCTCCCTCTGTGACCTTGAAAAAGTCATTTCTCATTTTTGTACCTCTGTTCTCCATTGGTTCAAAGGGAATAATAAGAGGTCTCTGTCTAGAAGGAAATTTTTACCTGTCATGGGGTACTAGGGTAATATGGCAATAGGGATTACCAAATACAGAATTTGTGATAATTTTCATGACACTATCTTCAAAGCTCTTTATTGGCTATAGTATAGTCATCCCCTCCCATGCCCACCCCTCTGCTGCCCCTATTGCTCATTATACCGTATCACCTTCCCTTCCCAACACCCAACCTCTGCCACCCCCTAATGCCCATTATACTATACAGCTGCCCCTTCCCCACCTCCACCCTCTGCTGTCTCTAGTGCCCATTATACAGTATAGCACCCCTTCCCCACCCCCAACCTCTGCTGCCCTTAGTGCCCATTATACTTGAAGGCCATTTGTCTGAGCCAGTATGGCCATTCTTATGTTCTCACCTGCTGCTGCCCCCTGCAGCCTATTATACAACACAACTGCCCTTTTCTCATTCCTTTCTGTTTAATCTATTCACTGCCAAAACAGAACCTTGAAAAAGAGAGCAATTCACCCCATGGATGTACATACATGTGGAAAGTACAATTCAAATGCATTTTGCTTACGACATTTGTACAGAAAGTTATGGGTGCTCCCCCATCTCCAGTGGAAGATACAGATACAGATTTTCCAAAACAATTGACATGCACTCGATACACTTCCTGTTAAGGAAAATAAATAAATTAATAAAAATAAAAATCAAAGCTGAAAATAAGTAAAAACAAATAACTAGAGGAAATCTGTAGACATGTTCTTCCTTTTTCCCCCCTCAGTTTTTAGTACGTGTGAGTAGGGACAGAGATGGGTATTTGTTGATCCAAAGGCACTGAGGTAGCGTAGTGCCCCTTGTAGAATAATTTCAATAAACACAGAGGGGATTCTTCCCCTGGGGCTGCTGGACTCAGAAGAACAGGGTGTGCCTGTCTGGTTTTCTAGCTCCCAGACTGACTGACAGAGCCTGTGCTGCCAGAACATCATGATGCAGGTTCTCCTTTGTGCTGGGCCATTAGGAGTGGTTGTAGCCCCCACTGAAAATGGAAGTTTCTTTGCATTTACATAGACATAACTCAGGAGCATCTGTAGTATGACAGGACATGGAATGAGGATGGAGTGTGAGGCGAGAGTAGCACATGTGCATGGAACAAGGGGGTTATGGAGTGAGTGGGCAGGGGTGAAGAGTGGCTGAAATTAGTAGGCAGCAGGTTTAATACAAACAAAAGGAAATAGTTTTTGCACACAATGCACAATTAACCTGTGGAACTCATTGCCATGGAATGTTGTGATGGTCAAAATACAAATGGCTTAAAAAAAACCCAACTAGATAAGTTCATGGAAGATAGGTCAAATGATATTCGCTAAAATGATCAGGTGTGTAAGCCCGTGCTTAGTGTAACCCTAAACCTCTACCTGCCAGAAGCCTGGAGGGAAAATCAGGGGTGGATCTCTCCAAAATTGGCCTGTTCTAAGGTCTGGGACTGGCCACTGTCGGAGACAGGATAATGGGCCAGATGAACCATCGTTCAGACCATTAGGCAGTTCTTATGTTCTTATCTGAAATCTAAGGGTAAGAGTTTTGAAAGTATTTAGGCACCTAAAGATGCAGATAGGTGCCGAGTTGGATTTTCAAAAGTGCCTAGGAAAGTTAGGAGTAGCAAGTGAATTGTAAAAACAGGTGAGATTTGTTGATTTGAGGATATTAACTTTGTATATTTTTAATGTGATGTCGACAGTTTGCATTTTAACTATTTATAAAGCTTTTATTTGCTGACTCTCTGCATCTGCTGCCATTAAATTATAGTCTCTCTCCCCACAATTTCCCACAGCTGTGAAAATTTAAAGCAATTAAAAATAGGAAAAATTAAAAACCAAATTGTACCAAGCCAAATTCAAAAATCTAAATCACTGGGAATAGACACCATTAAATTAGGCTTGAATAAAGACTGGGAGTGGATGGGTCATTACACAAAGTAGAACTATTCCCCCTACTGTTAGTCACACCTTCTTGTTAATTGTTGGAAATGGGCCATCCTGATTATCACTACATTTTTTTTTAATCTCCTGCTGACAATGGCCCACCTTAACTGATTACACTCGTAATAGTTGGTATGGCAACACCCATTTTTTCATGGTTTCTGTGTATATCTATCTATCTATCTATCTATCTATCTATCTTCCTACTGTATTTTCCACTGCATGCATCCAATGAAATGGGTTCTAGCCCACAAAAGCTTATGCTTAAATAAATGTGTTAGTCTCTAAGGTGCCACAAGTACTCCTAGTTATTTTTACCAGAAGAATTATCAGAACTCTCTCTGTTTTCCCCTTTAAATGACGGGGAGTGGAGGGAACAGTAGAAGAAAGAGCTGAAACACTCAGAATGATGAATTATGCAGAGAAATTGTTAAATTACGAATGTTCTTCCTTTTAGGACACATCTGGTTCTTTGTTCCCACCTCTGGAGCAATAATTCGGAAAGTCAAGAGGCTGGCTTTCTTTGAAAAGCCCCGTCTAAGTGACAAAATATTTCTATAAAACTTGCCTCCATGTTCTGTTTCAAAAATCCTGCCGAATTCAGCACACTCCTCCATTCTTGCTGCCAAGGTCTTTGAACTCCAGGTCTCACTCATTTCACAACACTTCTGGTAGGAATTCTTGCCCTTGTGTTCTGCTTAAATAATGGGTGAAATTAGGTTAGATTTGGGACAAGCTTCAGATGTGTTCAGGGGCACAGGGATTTTCAAAGGGGTGTGAAGGCAGTTTCAGTGCCAGCTCCCTGGAAAGGCAACAGGATTTGGGCTGTTAACTCCCTTAGGCCCTTTTGAAAACCTCAGCCTGCGTGTACTGGAACAGCCCTGGGCATTTGTGAAAATATTGTTATGTTGTCATGGAACCAAGCAGGCAGCAATTCATTCACCTGATAATTGGGATTACCTAAGGTGCCTAAGGAAGTCAACTTTAGACCCATTTGAAAATCCCATTTTAAATGATTAGACACAGGGACATCTAGTAAATCTAGTTTCGCTGGTCCACTTGCCTTTCAGGACTTCCTTCAGCTTCCCAAAGACTCCCTCGCAGTCTTCCCCAGCTGAGGCATGACCGTGAAACTCCAGGAGGAGGAGGGCACTCCAACAATGTGTACAAGTGCAATGAGTACCTGGGAGGAAAGAGAACATAATGTGGCCAACAGGCAGCTGTTTATCCTGTGAGCACCCAGATGTGGAGAGAGGAAAGACTCATGTCCTCAGTGCCCAAGTCTCTTGAAAGCAGGGATGAAACAGCCAGTGTAGGGTCAGACACCTGGCTGCTGAATCTGTTTGACCTGGTGTCCTAGAACATCAGGCCACACTTCAGTAGAAGGAGTGTAATGGTTAGAACTCACCTTCCAATGGCACCTAGCTTACGGTGCGAGCTACCTGGGGCTGACCAGGACTCCTCAAATTTTATGTATTTATTTATTTTATTAAAAATGACTGTTCAACCAAATTGGAATTTTGGTTAAAAAGAATTAGTTTTCAGATGAAAAACTGAAAACACAAATTTTGATTAAAATAATCCATTGATATATTCCAACGCCAGAAGAGACCACTGCAGTCAACTAGTCTGACCTCTTGTGTAACACAATAAACTGTATTCACTGGTTTGGTTTCACATAAATTATTTTGTTTTATTTTATTTTTTTTTTCACTTTGAAAATGAGCATTTTTTCTCTCATACATTTTACCAAAAACTGAAATGTTTTACCATATCCAGAAAAAATCAGCCTCAGTTTTGGTTTATTGTCTGAACCTTCCCCAACTTCTCGCAGAAAACACTTTTCAATGCGTTCTAGTGCTGATGTGAAAACAACTTGAGCCCTGTAGAGATAAATGTGCATGCCAGGTAGAAGTGTATTCCCTATGGATTTCACCCTATAGATCTAGGATTTAGGTACCCAACTTCTATTGAAATTTAATGGAAGTCAGGCACCTAATTCCATTAGGCTCATTTTAAAAAATCCCACCATTGATGCTAAAGTTATTCATCAGCATCTTGAAGGACTGGAGCTACAATTATCAAGCAAACCTCAGGGAGGTAGGAATTCAACTTCCATTAAATTTTACATTCTTCTGAAAATCCCATCATTAAAGAATAGACTGTCATGTGGCATGGCAGAGCTGGGGGGGGGAGGGGTGGTAGTTAATAAAGGCTGTGAATGACAACCTGTATATCCAGCTATATAATGACTTACCTCCTCCAAGTGGAGGCATGGCCATTTCTGATGTGTTTTCTGCAAGAAACAATCAAACCACCAGTTAGAATTATGTAGTTACTGATTCTCTGGCCTCCTAACACCCAAAGCCTGCGTCTGCCAGCCTGTCTGAAATTCAAACATTAGCAGCATTTTCCTCACCTGTCAACCTGACTCCATCAGCCCCCTCTTTGGTCCCACCCTGCAGCATCTTCTTGCATCAATCTGAAACATCCTCAGTACCTAGCACAACTCCACCCAGGCCAACTCTTAACAGAATGTTGGGGTCACAATGGTTGACGTTCCCATGTGGTGCAGGACTGCGATGGAACAAGGAGCCCACAAGAAACTCCTTTCAGCCATGCTGCCAAACCCACAATCATGGGTTTCTCCAGAGGTGCAAACAGAGAAGGACAGGGGAATATTCCCCACACATACTGAAATATCAACCAGTTTCAGCTTTGAGCTGCTTCTTGCTGACTAAACTCTGAGGACGCCTTTTGGGCATTCTAGGATAAATGCAACTACCACTGCTTAGCATCACCCAGCTGGTCCTGGACCTACAGAGGTAAAGGAAAGTTCACCTCCATCTGTCAGGCAATTGAGACAGAGAAGTAACTACAAGAAACTCTGTTCCTTGCAGGGGGTTTGTCCAATTTAACTGGGTTGAACTGGGTTAAGCCTGGTATGGGAGAGGTGAATCAGGCCAGTGATCCGAGGAATATAATACCCACATCTTCCATGTGTAGGCATGTGTCATAACTATAAAGGGAAGGGTGGCAGCTCTCCTGTGTACAGTGCTATGGAATCCCTCCTGGCCAGAGACTCCAAATCCTTTTACCTGTAAAGGGTTAAGAAGCTCGGGTAACCTGGCTGACACCTGACCCAAAGGACCAATAAGGGGACAAGATACTTTCAAATCTTGGGGGGGGGAAAGGCTTTTGTTTTGTGCCCTTTGTTTAAGGGGTTGTTCGCTCTTGGGACTGAGAGGGACCAGACATCAATCCAGGTTCTCCCCATCTTTCTAAACAAGTCTCTCTTATTTCAAAATTGTAAGTAAAAGCCAGGCAAGGCGTCTTAGATTTACTTTGTTTTCTCATCTTGTAAATGTACCTTTTACCGGAGTGTTTATCTTTGTTTGCTGTACTTTGAACCTAAGACAGAGGGGGGTCCTCTGAGCTCTTTAAGTTTGATTACCCTGTAAAGTTATTTTCCATACTGATTTTACAGAGATGATTTTTACCTTTTTCTTTAATTAAAAGCCTTCTTTTTAAGAACCAGATTGATTTCTCCTTGTTTTAAGATCCAAGGGGGTTTGGATCTGTATTCACCAGGAGTTG